GGTTATGTTTAGGGTGGAAACCCAGGCTCAAATGTTTATGGGAGGAGCCAGCGCAGGGAGGACAAGGATAGAGGGTGGGAGGCCAGTGTATGGGACACCATGGGTGTGCAGGGAGTAGGGGTGGAGGGTGCTGTGCCCGCCACAGGCGGGACCCAGGAGAGTCAGGAGGACAGTTTCCAGGTGGTGGAGGGAGACCCTGCCTGTAGCAACAAAAAAAGATAGACTGGGCGTGGTGGTTCATGCCAGTAATCAAAGTACTGTGTGGGGCCAAGGCAGGTGGATCACTTGAATCCAGGGGTTCAAGACCAGACTGGGCAACATGGCAAAACCCTGTCTCAATTACAAATACAAAAAAAAAAAAAAATTAGCCTGGTGTGATGGCACACACCTGTATTCCTAGCTTCTTGGGAGGCTGACGTGGGAGAATGAAATTGCTTGAGCCTGGGAGGCGGAGGTTGCAGTGAGCCGAGATTGTGCCATTGCACTCCCGCCTGAGCCACAGAGCAAGACCCTGCCTGAAAAACAACAAAATTCTCCTTTTATTGAGGTGAAATTCACATAACAAAATCAACAAGCTCACAGTAAGCAATGTCATGGCATCTAGTACATTCACAATGTCATGTGGCCACCACTTCTATTCAGTTCTGAAACACTGGAAAGAAACCCTGTGCCCATTAGGAGTGTGCCCCCATTCCCCCTTCCCCAGTCCCTAGCAACTCCCAGTCTGCTTTCTGCTCCTGTGACTTTGCCCGTTCTGGGCATCTCATGTGAGTGGAATCACATAGTGTGCGGCCTTTCGTGTCTGGCTGCTTCTCTTCAGCATGATGTCTTCCAGGTTCATCCGTGTTGTGGCAAGTGTGAGTTTCCCATGGCTGCTGTCACAGAGTACAAAAATGTGGACACTTAAATGTAGATGTATTGTCTCAGTGCTAGAAGCTAGAGGTCAAGACTCTTGGAGTCAGCAGGGCTGTGCTCCCTCTGGAGGCTCGCGGGGAGAACCTGTTCCTCACTTCTCTTAGAGCTTCCAGCACGGCCAGCAGTCCACAGCGTTGGCTGACCTCTGGACACGTCACTCCAGCCTCCGCCTCCATCATCACAGCCTGTCTCCTGTGTCTCCACGTGGAGTTCCCTGTGTGCATGTTTGTCTTTGTGCAAATTTCTCTTTCTTGCAAGATCATCGCTCATATTTGACCTCATCTGAGCTTGGTCATTTCTGTAAAGACCCCATCTGGATAGTCACATTCTGGTGCGTCAGGTGGTAGGCTTTCAGTGAACGCTTTTGCAGAGGCCACAGTTAACAACATCCTCATGCGTCGGGATTGCATGGCTGTTCAAAGCTGAGCTGACGCTCTGCTGTCTGGATGGGCCACATTTTCCTTCTCTGTCATCTGTGGATGCAGATGGGCATTGGGCAGTGTCTGACTTTTGGGTCTCATGAACCGTGCTGCTGTGAGCAGAGTCCCTGTTTCCAGTACCCTTGGTTACAGAGCTAGGAGTATGTAGGTGGCTTTTACTCACAGAGGGAAGTTGGAGGCTGGGTCCTATCCCCTTTGGGCTTCTGATTCTGCCCCTCTAGTCACAAAACACAGGGGAGTGAGTGAGGTCTCTGCAGTCAACCTCCCTTCCCCTCCAGTGTCACCATGGCACGGCACCCTGCCACCCCCTGCCCTCCTCAGTCCACCTGGCTCATTCTCCAGGGACGTGTGGGCAGAAAACCCGAGGCCTTCAGATGTCCAGAGCACCTGAGAAAGGTTGGGACTCCTGCTAGTCCTGCCCTCAAAGGCAGGGGTTTGGGTGCCTTTGATCATTTTCTTCTGGATTTCTTTCTTTTTTGAGACAGAGTCTCACTCAGTTGTCCAGGCTAGAGTGCAGTGGCTCGATCTTGGCTCATTGCAATTTCTGCCTTCTGGGTTCAAGCAATTCTCCCTGACTCAGCCTCCCAAGTAGCTGAGATTACAGGCACCTGACACCATGCCTGGCTTATTTTTGTATTTTTAGTAGTGATGGCGTTTTGCCACGTTGGCCAGGCTGGTCTCAAACTCCTGACCTTAGATGATTTGCCTGCCTTGGCCTCCAAAGTGCTGGGATTACAGGCAGGAGCCACCATATCTGGCCCTTTTCTTCTGGATTTTTATCGTGGCAAAATATACAGAACATAAATTTCACCATTTCAACTGTTTTTAAGGGCGCGGTTCACTGGTATTCCCATTGTTGGGTAACGGTCACCAACATCCGCCTCCAAAACTCTCATCTTTCCCGAAGAGACTCTGTAGTCATTAAACATGAACTCCCCAACTCCTGGTAACCTCTGTTCCCCTTTCTGTCTCTACGAGTGGGACTATTTTAGGGACTTCCTATAAGTGGAATCCTGCAGGATTTGTCCTTTTGGGGCTGGTATCACCAGGCATGACGCCTTGAAGGTTCATCCATGTTGCAGTCTGTGTGGGGTCTGGACTGGCTCTTGTCCTGAGAGCCCTGGAATCTAGGCAAGTGTTTTCAAGCATGAGGTATGTGTGTGTGTGATGGGATTTATGTGTTTCAAGCCAGGTGCAGTGGCTCACACCTGTAATCCCAGCACTTTCAGAGTCTGAGGTGGGCAGATCATTTGAGGTAAGGAGTTTGAGACCAGCCTGGCCAACATGGTGAAAACCCGTCTCTACTAAAAATACAAAAACAAATTAGCTGGGCATGGTGGTGCACATCTGTAATCCCAGCTGCTAGAGAGGCTGAGCCAGTAAAATTGTTTGAACCTGGGAGGAGGAGGTTGTAGTGAGCTGATATCACACCACTGCACTCCAGCCCGGATGACAGAGCAAGACTCCATCTCAAAAAAAAAAAAAAGAGGAAAAGTGAATTCAATGTAGTGGTGAGAAATGGCAAGACCCAGGCAGTTGAGGGAGTGTGGGGGATGGGGAGAGTGGCAAGCCCCAGCCTGCCTCCACCTGTGGTGTGAGCGAGAATCAAGCACTTTCTTTGGCATAGCGGAACCAGATCTTTAGAATGGGGGTGGGGGGAATGTCTTATTATGCAATGCACATTTTTCTTTGCAGTAACTTTACAAAGAACACAAAGTTGACTTAAGGAAGGCTGCCAAAGGACAGCTACGTCTGCTGAAAGATCTGTGTAATTGCTGCTGTGCTCCCGGACACTGGACATGAGTGAAAAGCACCAGGAAACGGGGGTGGCTAGCAGAGCTTTTCTAAGCAAACAAGCATTTGGGAGGAGACAGTTTGGGGTTGGGGAGGATGCTGGCAAGAAGGAAGAGGGGGATTTGCAATCTCATTAATCAGCTAAAGGAAGAAGTTAGTACCTCTCCTGCTTCCTCCTTCCCACTTACCAGTAACCTGCTGGAAAAGGAAAAGATGATTATCACATCCGATACTAGGAATGATACTGGAGAAATACCTTGTGCTTTCCTGATTCTCAGGTCGCGTTTGTGTTAGCAAAGCCTCCCAAAGCCTCCAGGTGTTTCACATGGCTTCTTTCCAGCCCCGTGGGTCTCAACACAGAGTGCTGGGACTCCCGAACTTGGCTGTGTTTCCCCTCCCCTTTTCTTGGGTTATTTAAAATGTCCCGTAGAGTCAGGCTGCGATACCACCTATCACCAGCAGGAGGCTCTCTCTACCATATGGTGCAAACTTGATGGAGAATCCCAGAAGTTCGAGGTTCAGGATTCTAAATATGTGTATTGTTGCCCTACTCTGTCCACTTACAAGTTTCAGTTCTGTTAAGTAAGTTTGCTCAGCCTGGGCAACATACGGAGACTCTGTCTATCTCTACAAAAAAATCTAAAAATTAGCCAGGTATGATAGCAAACACCTGTGGTCTCAGCTATTCAGGTGGGTAAAGCATGATTCCCTGAGCCTGGGAGGCTGAGGGTGCAGCGAGCCCTGATTGCGTCACTGTACTCTAGCCTGGGTGACAACAACGACAAAAAAGCTTGCTTAAAAATAGATGCGTCAGTATCAGCCAACAACTAACAACTGGAACTGGAACGTTTATCAACAGGAGAACAAATAAACCGTGATATACTCATACAGTGGAATACTAAGCTGCTGTGACAATTAGCAGACTGCTGCGACGTGCAGCATCTTGTATGAATCCACTAACAGTGTTGAGTAAAAGAAATCAGATGAGAAAGCATGTATGAGCGTATAATGCATGTTACCACTACCGTAAAGTGCAGACCTGGTCTGTGAGGATAGAAACCATGAGAGCAGTTACTTCCCAGGTAGGTAGGGGACCGCTCATATCTGTTTCCTAATTTGGAGGCTGGTTATAAGGGTTAGTTTGTGAGTTGCACACATATGTATACTTTTTGTGTGTATGTTATACTTTTTTTTTTTTTGAGACGGAGTTTCGCTCTTGTTACCCAGGCTGGAGTGCAATGGCGTGATCTCGGCTCACCGCAACCTCCACCTCCTGGGTTCAGGCAATTCTCCTGCCTCAGCCTTCTGAGGAGCTGGAATTACAGGCACGCCCCACCGTGCCCAGCTAATTTTTTGTATTTTTAGTAGAGACGAGGTTTCACCATGTTGACCAGGATGGTCTTGATATCTTGACCTCGTGATCCACCCGCCTCTGCCTCCCAAAGTGCGTATGTTATACTTTTAAAAAACACATCTGGATGGGCGCAGTGGCTCACACCTGTACCCCTAGCACTTTGGGAGGCCAAGGCAAGCAGATCACCTGAGGTCAGGAGTTTTGAGACCATCCTAGCTGGCCAAAATGGTGAAACCTCATTTCTACTAAAAATACGAAAAAATTAGCTGGATGTGGTGACACGCACCTGTAATCCCAGCTACTTGGGAGACTGAGGCAGGAGAATTGCTTGAACCCAGGAAGCAGAGGTTCCAGTGAGCTGAGATCATACCACTGCACTCCAGCCTGGGTAACAGAGCAAGACTCCATCTCAAAAATATCAAATTAAATTAAAAAATAAATCAGTGCATCAGTACGAGAGTTCAATTTGCTAAACAGGAGCCCTGTTCTTTTCACAGATTGATGAACAGAATGAGCTGAAAGCCATCGAAAAAGAGAAGAAGGTGACAGCCCTGCCCCCCAGGGAAGCGTGCAAATGCCATAAAGAGGATTTGGCCGAAGTGTTTTGTGTAAGAATTGAATTTGCGTCTGGTGCTAATTATGTTTGAAAGAGAACAAGGCAGCGCCCTGAACAGGGCTCTGAAATTGCACGTTATCATATAATTGTATCATCCATGTCGAAAAAGATTGTTGATAGTGAACAGTTGGGATTCCAGGGGTAGAATATCGTACTTGTCAGTAGAGCTAATCCTCAGCAGGCCCTTACTGGAAGACGGGCGTCCTTTCAGGCTCCCTGTGTACACCGCTTCTCTTAATCCTCACGTTTGTTGGCAAAAACATGAAGGCATGGACGATGAAGCTGAGGCGCAGGAAGTAGCACAGCCCAGCGTGGAGTGTGGGTTTCCCATCAAAGCCAAACTCTTAGTAATCCTGTCTTTTGTAATCCATGGAGTTGCCAGGTACTGAAACCAAGTTCTCCCAAGTTTCTCAAGTGAGTTTGAATTCCTGACCAGTGCAAGACAAGAAACATTTGCATTGCACAGAGTGTGTGTGCATGTGTGTGCGCGCGCGCGTGTGTGTGCACGTGCGTGTGTGTGTGTGTGCGTGCATGCGCGCGTGCATATTCATAACCACTACACTTTGGGAGAGGAAATAAACCCCCCTAGTAAAAGGGCTTGCTACAATTTCAGGATGCTGGAAGCTGACATTTCATGTGTCTTTTCTTGAGAATAACTCAAGTCTGCTTAAATTCAAGCCCTGTTTATTAGTACTTGAAGAGGGGGAGGAAATATTTCTTCTCTGCCTAGACATTATCCCTACCTAAATGAGCTAAATGAGAATTTACCTAAAATGAGCTAAATTCTCTTTCGCTATTCAGAAGAATCTAGAAATCGATTGTTTTCCCTCTTACCTCTACCAGGGAGTACTGTTTTCTTCTTAGTGACTTTTCACAAACAAGGACACCTTTGTTGTGACCAGAACTACAAACTCCTTCCATTGCTACTGACTTATACATTAGCTGTTTTTAATGAATTTGTTTACAGAAAGAGCTTGAGAGGCCGGGTACAGTGGCTCATGCCTGTCATCCCAGCACTGTGGGAGGCTGAGGTGGGCGGGAGTTTGAAACCAGCCTGACCAACATGGAGAAACCCCATCTCTACTAAAAATTAGCTGGGTGTGGTGGCGCATGACTGTAATCCCAGCGACTTGGGAAGCTGAGGCAGGAGAATCACTTGCACACAGGAGGCAGAGGTTGCAGTGAGCCAAGATAATGCCATCGCACTCACGCCTGGGCAACAAGAGCAAAACTCCATCTCAAAAAAAAAAGCAAGCTTGAATGGTACTGGGCACAGTATAATTGTTTTAGCTACTGTTTCTTTTTTATTTTTAATTTTTGTGGGTACATAGAAGGTATATATACATGAGTTCCAGAGATACTATGAGACAGGCATGTGATGTGTAATAATCATGTCGGGGTAGACGGGGTACCCGTCCTCTCAAGCATTTATCCTTTGTGGTACAAGCAATCCAGTTATACTTAGTTATTTTTAAATGTACAATTAAATTATTTTTGACAAAGGTCACCCTCTTCTGCCAGCAAATACTAGGTCTTACTTATTCTTTCTAACTTTATTTTTGTACCCATTAACCCTCTCCACTTTCTCCCACATGCCGTTACCAGGCTCTGGTAACCATCCGACTGGCTCCATGAGTTCAATTGTTTTAATTGTTAGTTCCCACACATCAGTGAGAACCTGCAAAGTCTGTCTTTCTGCGCCCAGAGGTCACTATGTTATTTCATTGAATATGATGACCTCCGGTTCCATTCATGTTGTTGCAAATGACAGGATCTTATCCTTTTTGATGGGTGCATAGTACTCCATTGTGTACATCCACCACAGTTTCTTTATTTCTCTGTTCATGGGCACTTAGGTTGCTTCCAAACTTTGGCTGTTGTGAATAGTGCTGGAGCAGACATGGGAGCATAGCTGTCCCGTCAGTATTCTGATTTCCTTTTCTTGCTTGTGTACCTAGGAGTGGGATTGTGGACCATATGACAGTTGTATTTTTAGGTTTTTTTAGGAACCTTCCAAACTGTTCGTTAGAGTTGTTGTACTAGTTTACATTACCACCGACAGTCTGCAAGGGTTCCCTCTTGTCCACATCCAGGATTTGATATTGAAAAGGCCGTTTCAACGGCAAGGAGATGATACCTCATTGTAGTTTTGATTTGCATTTCTCTGACGATCAGTGAGCAACCTTTTCATGTACCTGTTTGCCATTCATATGTCTTCTTTTGAGAAATGTCTGTCCAGATCTCTGCCCATTTCAAAAGCAGGTCATTAGATTTTTTTTCCTGTAGGGTTGTTTGAGCTCCTAATATATTCAGGTTATTAATCCCGTGTCAGATGGGTAGTTTAGGAATATTTTCTCCCGTTCTGTGGGTTGTCTCTTCACGTTGATGATTTCCTTTGCGGTGCAGAAGCTTTTTAACTTGATGTGATCCCATTTGTCCATTTTTTCCTTGGTTGCCTGTGCGTATAGGATATTACTCAAGGAATCTTTGCCCATTTCAGTGTCCTGGAGAGTTTCCCCAGTGTTCTCTTGGTAGTTTCATAGACCGTGATCTTAGATGTAAGTCTTTTTTTTTTTTTTAGATGGAGTCTCACTCTGTCACCCAGGCTGGAGTGTGGGAGTATGGTGGTGCGATCTTGGCTCACTGCAACCTCTGCCTCCTGGGTTCAAGTGATTCTCCTTCCTCAGCCTTCCATAATAGCTGGAATTTCCACCTCCTGGATCAAGCAATTCTCCTGCCTCAGCCTCCTGTAGTAGCTTGGATTACAGATATGCACCACCACATCCAAATAATTTTTGTATTTTTAGTAGAGATAGGGTTTTGCCTTGTTGGCCAGATTGGTTTCAAACTCCTGACCTCAGGTAATCTGTCCACCTCATCTTTAATCCATTTTGATTTGATTTTTGTTGATAATGAGAGAGTAGTCATCTCAAATTTTATCTGATCCCTATCAAATTTCACTCTCCTTCGTATGGATCTTTAGTTTTCCCAATACCATTTATTAAAGAGATTGCCCTTTCCCTGGTGGATGTTCTTGGTGCCTTTGTCGCTGCAGATGTATGGATTTATATCTGGGTTCTCTATTCTGTTTCACTGATCTCTGTATCTGTTTTCATGCCAGTACCATGCTGTTTCAGTTACTAAAGCTCTGTTGTATAATTTAAAATTAGGTAATATTCCTCCACTGTTGTTCTTTTTCCTTAGAATAACTTTGGCTATTCTGGGTCTTTTGTGATTCCATATAAATTGAATTTTTTTTTCTATTTCTGTAAAGCATGTTGCATGTTCTCACTAATAAGTGTGTGTTGAACAATGAGAGCACATGGACACAGGGAGGCGAATATCACACACCAGGGCCTGTTGGGGGGTGGGAGGGCTAGGGGAGGGATAGCAGGGGGGTGGGGGGGATCAGGGAGGGATGGCATTAGGAGAAATACCTAATGTAGATGACGGGGGATGGATGCAGCAAAGCACCATGACGTAGGTATACCTATGTGACAATCCTGCACACTCTGCACATGCACCCCAGAACTTAAAATACAATTTAAAACGGGGGGAAAAAGAATGTCACTGGTATTTTGACAGGGATTGTGTTAAAGCTGGAGGTTGCTGTGGGTAGTTTGAACATTTTAACAATATTGATTCTTCCAATGTGGAGTAGCTTCCGTTTCTCTGTCTTCAGTTTCTTGCATCAGTCTTCTATGGTTTTCATTGTAGAGACTTTTTACTTCCTAGATATTTAATTGGCAGCTATTGTAAATGGGATTGCTTAATCGATTTCTTTCTCACGTTGCCTGCTCTTAGCATGTAGCAATGCTACTGACCTTGTGTGTTGAGTTTGTATCCTCCAGGTTTGCTGATTTTGTTTTTGAGTTCAACAGCTTTAGGTGGAATCTTTAGGTTTATTTCAAACATAAGATCATATCATCTGCAAACAAGAATCATTTGACCTCTTTTTCAATTTGGACACCCTTTTTTTTTTTTTTAACTCCCGTCTGATTGCTCTAGCTAGAACTCACAATGCTTTGTTGAAAAACAATGGTAAAGTGGGTATCCTACAGGGAAAGCCTTCAGTTCGTTTCTCATTTACTGTGATACTAGCTCTGGGTTTGTCATATATTAGACCCAGTTTTTTTAGGGCTTCTCACGAAGAGGTGTTGAATTTCGTCACGTCTTTTTCAGCATTAATTGAAATGATCATATGGTTTTTGCCCTTCATTCTGTTGATACTACGTATCACATTACTGGATTCGTGTGTGGTGAACCATCCTTGCATCCTTGGGGTAAGTTCCACGTGGTCATGATGAACTTTCTTTCCAATGTGTTACTGCATTCCGTTGATTGTATCTTGTGGAGGATTTTTGTATCAATAGTCATCCGTGGTGATGGCCAGTCGTCTTCTTTTTTTAAATGTGTCTTTGTCTGGTTTTTGTATCAAGGTAGTAGTAGCCTGGTAGAATGAAAGTATTCCCTGCTCCTCTATTTTTTGGAATAATTTGAGTAAGATTGGTATCCATTCTTTAAATGTTTCATGGAATTCAGCAGTGAACCCACTGGGTCCTAGACTTTTCCTAACTGGAAGACTTTGTATTATGGCTTCAATCTTATTACTTATTATTATTCTATTCAGGCTTTGGAGTTCTTCCTGGTTCAATCTTGGTAGGGTCTGTGTGTCTAGAAATGTATCCATTTTTTCTGTATTTTCCAACTTACTGGCATGTAGTTGCTCATGGTAGCCACTAAGGGTCCTTTGCCTTTCTGTGACATGAACTGTAAAGTCTCCTTTTTCATTTTTGTTTTTGGATATTCTTTTTGTCTTAGTCTGGCTAAAGGTTTGTTAGTTTATCTTTAAAAAAAAAAAACACTCGTTTCTTAAGACAGGCCAATTCTTTGAAATCTCTGTGGTAAATGCACAACATAGAATTTACCATTTTAACCATGTTTTTTTTTTTCCAAGACATGGTCTCACTCTGTTGCCCAGGCTCAAGGGAAATGCTGCAATCAAGGCCCGCTGCAGCCTCAACCTCCTGGGCTTAAGCAATCCTCCTGCCTCAGCCTCCTGAATAGCTGAGACTACAGAGTCTGCCACCACCCTGGGCTAATGTTTTAAATTTTTTGTAGAGCCAAGGTCTCTCTATATTGCCCAGATTAGCTCTGAAGTCTTGGGCTCAAGCGATGCTCCCACATCAGCCTCCTAAAGTACTGGGACTGCAGGTGTGCGCCCCTGGGCCTGGCCTTAAGCATTTCACAGCTACATCAAGTACATTCTCATTGTTGTGTGACCATCACCATTATCTACCTCCAGAACTCTTTTTTTTTTTAATTTTAACATTTACCAGTTTATTATAAAGGCGATGGCAAAGGATGCAGATGAAGAGATGCATAGGGCAAGTAATGGATGAAGGGGTGCAGAGCTTCCATGCCCAGTGCTGCTATGAACATGGTTGTTCAAACATCTCCCTGGGTGCCACTCTCCAGGAACTTCCCTGTGTTCAGCTACGTGAAGCCTCACTGAAGTCTTTGGGTTTTCAGGGAAGCTTCATGACGTCGGCATTCCTTCCCCCAGATTATAGGGTGGGACCCTCTCATGGGAGGGTCTTAAGACCCACAGTCCGCAAGTTGGGGGGGTACGTTAGCATCTCCAGAATTCTTTTCATCTCGTAAAACTGAGTCTGTCTCCATTAAATACTCACTCCCTGTTCCCCCTCCCTCTAGCCTCTGGCACCCACCATTCTACTTTCTGTCCCTGCAGTTTGATCAGTCTAGGTAACTCATATGTGGAATCAACAGAACTTGTCTTTTTGTGTCTGATTTATTTCACTTAACTTCAACCTCAAGGTTCAACTTAAAGGTGTATCCACGTTGTAGCCTGTGGCAGCATTTTCTTTCATTCTGAGGTGAAATATTTCACTGTATATGTATTCCACATTTATACATTCATTCAACCCTTGACAGATTCGTGGGTTACTTCCCCCTTTTGGCTTTTGTGAACAGTGCTATGAACATGGTTGTACAATTGAGACCCACTTCCATTTCCTTTGGATGTATACCCAAAAAATGGAATTGCTGGATCTGATAACTCCCTTTTTAATTTTTGGAGGAACTGCCACACAGTCTTCTAAACAGCTGCACCATTTGACATTCCCAAGACCTGTTGGAAACAGGTTTATAACGTCGGGAAGAATCCACACCGAGACAGTGGCTCACTCAGCAAGGCTAGCTTACTTCCTGCAGGAAGGGTGCAACTCTCCGGCAGTCTTGCTATGAGAGCACAGCTGAACGAGGGAGACAGGGACGTTTATGACTTTCATAACCTGATGCAATCGCCCTACGGCTGTGTCCAGTTTCCATTGGCCAGAATGGGACCTCTCATTCTATGCTTGACCTGATTGGCTAAAAACTTGGAAATTTTCTAAAGAAATAAAGGCAGAGGAGAACAAAGGAAATGAGAAAGTGACTTGAGGAATTCTCAGAGAAGGGATAACATTTCCAAATAAGGAAGGGGGATAAGCTTTGACCTAAGACTTGACTGGGCTTGTCCAGACGTGTCAGGGCGAATATCTAGGTGAAAGTGTAAGAGTAAGAACATATGCACTTATTTCTCCATTATGACTAACAGCCACTCTAAGATTATTAGCAAAAGTTTTAAAGTAAATTAAACTTTGAATAAACTGTTATCATAATGAACTAAGAAAAGCTTTGAAGAGGAACTTTTTATTTATTCTTATTTCCCACAGACCCATTTTTTTTTTTTTTTTTTTAAAGAAGAAAGTGTAAGTTTCGGCATTTCAGGAAGTCCACATTGTGATTCCATTTGTCGAAATTTGAGACGGGTCATCTTTTCTGCTGTGATTATAATGGTCATTGGACTGTGCATTTTCCTTCTCTCTCTGTCCCATCTGCACAGGGTCTTTGAACAAGTCCCAGCACCTGGGTGGGCGAGCCCGTGTCCCTGCCCATCATGGAAGCCACTGCCTTCTAGAGTGGAAGTCTGTGCCTTGCAGCCTCATTCCTTGCTGGGTCCATCAGTGAGCTTGTGCTTCACCTCTCCCTCCAGGTGGACTTACACACTGGGCTGTCGGAGTTCTCAGTGGCGCAGCGCCGGCTGGTCCATGGCTGGAATGAGTTCGTCGCCGACACTACCGAACCCGTGTGGAAGAAATACTTGGATCAGGTAGGACCAGAGGTGTCGTTCTTTGCATTAATATGCGTAAGCCAGGGAGGGTGGGACAGCCATTAGATCTTGCAGTGTTGATTGAAGGCATCTTTGGACTGGTCCCTCCTCATTCCGGCTGCTCCCAGTCAGCATGAGCATCCCCCTTGAGCAAATCGCCAACTCCCCAGGCAGCCATGATCAGGAAGAACAGTGATCACATTCACAGACAGTATAGCTGGCCTCCGGCCCCATCTAAATGAGTAGGTGAATAGGTAAGCATGCACTTACTGACCCTCCTAATCCTGGCTTTGCACATGAGGAAAGGGAAGTACAGAGGTTCAGAGATTTCCCCAGAGTTGCCAGGTTTAGCAAATAACAATATAGGATGCCCTGTTAAATCTGAATTTCAGGCCAGGCATGGTGGCTCACACCTGTAATCCCAGCAATTTGGGAGGCTGAGGCAGGTGGATCACTTGAGCCCAGGAGTTCAAGACCAGCCGAAGTAACATGACAAAACCCCGTTTCTACTAAAAATACAAAAATTAGCTGGGCATGGTAGTGAATGCCTGTAATCCCAGCTACTCAGGAGGCTGAGGTGGGAGGATTATTTGAACTCGGGAGGCAGAGGCTGCAGTGAACTGACATTGCCCCACCGCACTCCGGCATGGGCAACAGAGTGAGACTGTGTCTCAAACCACAGCAACAAAAACCCGACAAAGTAAATTTCTTTCTAGTATAAGCGTGTCCCAAATAACACAGTGGACATGCTTATACTAAGAAGAAAAACGCTCCTTGTTGATCTGAAATTCAGATGTAATTGGGTGTCCTATAGCATCTGTAACCTGAGCCCAAAGTCACATAGCAGCAAGGAGCAGTGCAGAGAAGTGCAGCCAGGGAGCTGCACCCAGAGCCCCTGCCCTTGCTGGCGGCTGCCACCAGTGCTGTCGTGGTGCTGAATGAACGGCACACAATCAAATGCCTGGAAGCCACTAGGAAGAGGAAAGAAAACACTGCCATTGACACCGCTCTAAGCTCCAGTCTCGTAGTCTGCAGCCCCTGCCGCCTTCCTAGGACAAGCTCAGAAAGGCCCAGTGAACAGGCAGGATTTTCCAGGTGTCTGATGGCAATTAAATGGCCTTAGATCCCCTTTTCCAGCCTTTTGCTTGCCCTTGGCCCCATCCCTGACGTCTCCCCTCATTCATTCTCTGGCCCCTGGGCTGCCCCAGGTTTCAGCTGCCTTCCTATTGGCTCTGTGTTTATAGCTTCCTCAACTGGTCGATTCAGGGACCAATCACAGTCTTCCATGTAGCATCCTTAGTCTCCACTCTCCTTGTGGTTTCCTCCCTGATTGTGGCTCAGTTCTCAGTGTTCTGGGGATGTTCTTCATGGGTGCGTTTTGGCACCAAAATAGGTTTCTGGGTATGCAGGTGGCTCTGGGCAGTCCAGAAGCTTCCTAAAACTGCAGGGCTGAGAAGAGGCAGTGGAGGCTCCCGGAAGCTGGGGTTCAGGAAAACAGGCTGAGACATGGACTGTGAGGGAGGAGCTCCCCTCTGCAGCTGGAGCCCTCTTCACTCCACCCTGGCACCCCTTCCACTAGGACCCACTCCCCCCACTTCCCCTGATTGTCCTCCTTCCCCTCTGCCCTGTCAACCCTCCATGAACATCTTCCTTCACACCAAGGGTCCTCTTCCAGCCCCCAGCCAGAGTGTTCCCCAAAATCAAATCTCTTAAATTTCTTGACAGCAGAGGACCTGCTCATTCATTTTATACCTTGTCGATTCAGCAATGTATCAGTGTGAATCCTCGTAGGACTGGATGGGAGCTCCCAATGGCTGAATGAGTATACAGATTCTGTCTGCACTCCCTTACTAATTCCTGACACGTGTTGAGTTCTTGCCATGTGCCAAATGTTGCGATTCTCCTATCTTTCCGCCAGTAACAGGGAACTTACCGCCTCACAAGGTAGCCCTGTTCCTCTGTCTCAGGAGTCTCAGCAGTTGGAATTCCACCTTAGCACAACCTAAGGCTCTGGATGGGTTGGCTGGGTGGATGCTCTGGATGGGATGGCAGGGAGGCACTAGGCTGGTGCTCTGAAGAGGTGGCATCTTGGCAGAGACCTGAGTGAAGTGAGGAGGGAAGCTGTGTGAGGATGTGGTTGGAGGGCGTCACTGGAGGGCAGGGTGCAGAGGCCCTGAAGGGACAGGAGCCTGGCGGCCTGGGGATCAAGGTTCCCAGACCTGGTGCCTTCTTGTTATTATTCCTGGGATAGGGTTTCGCTTTGCTGTCCAAGCAGGAGTGCAGTGGCACAAACAGCCGACCGGAGTCTCAGCTTCCTAGGCCCCAATGATCCTCCTGCCTTAGCCTTCTGAATAGCTGCGATCACAGGTGCACACTACCATTCCCGGCTATCATTTTTTCTTTTTTTTTTTTTTTGTAAAGATGTGGTTTTGCTGTGCTGCCCAGGCTGGACGCAAACTCCCGGGCTTAAGTGGTCCTCCAGTTTCAGCCTCCCAAAATGCTGGGATTACGCGCGAGCCTCTGCGCCAGCCCCTGTTGATATTTTAACTCTCTCCCTGTGGTCTGCCCTCTGAACCCGGGTTTATATGTTCGTGTTTCTTTCAATCCTCTGGAAGATGCACCACCATGAGATGTCTCTGAAATGAAGGGGTAGATACATTAAACAAAGTCAAAATCTTATCAGGAAGTTTTGGGAATAGCCGTTTTAAGGAGGGGCCTCACTGGATCCACAGAGGCTGTTACAGGAGCAGGTGGCACTGCGTTTGGTGACCGGGACGTGCAGGATTTGGGGATCCTTGGCTGTGCTGAGCCAGGATTGGCATCTTGCTGAAGGTCCTGGCCTGGAGTGTCGTGTAGATGTAGAGGCGAGCCCAAGGACTCAAAGGCAGGGCCAAAGCCGACGTCTTGATGTGGACAATGTGACCACAGCTCCCGGGAGGGTCACTGGGGTGGAGTTCCAGGCAGAGGAGGACCATTGCATAGGGGCAGTCTCCCCAGTCCTTGGTCACCCTGGTGTTGACCTGGGCTGGAGCCTGGCCTGGAACTGAGAACCCCGTCACACACGCTTCTGCACAGTAAGAAACCCATTCTGGTTCCTGAGACTGAAGAACACGCCCTGCTGTGTATTTCCTCTTCAGTTTAAGAACCCCCTGATCCTGCTGCTGCTGGGCTCTGCCCTGGTGAGCGTCCTTACCAGGGAGTACGAGGACGCCGTCAGCATCGCCACGGTGAGTTTCCCGACAGCGTTCAGCTCCCGGGCGGGCAGCCACAGGTTTGCTGAGTCTCTGCTTGTTATTATTATACAAAGAAAAAAAGGAGTTTGCTGGGGGCGGGGGGGCGGCTAGGAACATGCAGAAGAAAGAAAGGAAAGCAAAGCCACATCCTCCTTTACCCCCATAACAAGGAGCCCTGGTTTATTTGGCCGCCGTTTGCTTGGTGGATGCACAGCTGCTTCTGGGTCTTTGCTAGAGCAGAGCTGCAGGGAATTCCCTTCCCGTGACCCGGGGATGGGGGCAAATAGACACTGGACTGTGCATGTTTGCCTTCCAAAGAATAACACCCTCGATCCATCACCCAGAGAGAACCACTGGGCACTCTACATTTTGTTTTATTTAGATGAAATTCGGGTAATAAAATATTGACTGTTTCCCAGTGAACAATTCAGTGGAACTGAGTACATTGATGACATGGCACAACCCCCACCTCTGCCTAGTTCCAGCACATTTTCATCACCCCAGAAGGAAACCCTGAACTCACCAGGCAGTCACTTCCTCTTGCCCTCCTGCCAGCCCTTGGCAACCACCCTGTTCTGGATATGTCACAGAAACAGCTTTAGACAATACATGACCTATCATGTCTGACTTCTCCTGGTAGCTTTTTCTCTTTCGCTTTTTTTTTGAGACAGAGTCTTGCTCTGTTGCCCAGGCCGGACAGCTCACTACATGAGCTCAGCTCACTACAACCTCCGCTTCCCGGGTTCAAGTGATTCTCCCACCTCAGTGTCCCGAGTAGCTGGGTTTACAAGTGCCTGGCACCACGCCCAGCGAATTTTTATATTTTTAGTAGAGATGGGGTTTCCCTGTGTTGGCCAGGCTGGTCTTGAACTCCAACTCAGATGATCTGCCTGCCTTGGGCCTCCCAAATAGCTGGGATTATAGATGTGAGCCACCACACCCAGCCTGAGCACCTTTTGAAGGGTATCATTGCCCACTTGTTTCTGTTTGTTCAAGCTGGTGTTTTAAAATACAAACACAGATTCATTCTCCACGATGGAATTTGCTGTTTCCAGTTAAAAGGCTGGGGTAGGCCAGGCACAGTGGCTCATGCCTATAATCCCAGCACTTTGGGCGATGAGGCAGACAGATCACAAGGTCAGGAGATTGAGACCATCCTGGTCAAATGGTGAAACCCTGTCTCTACTAAAAATACAAAAAAAAAAATAGCTGGGTGTGGTGGTGCACATGCAGCTACTGAGGAGGCTGAGGCAGGAGAATCACTTGAACACAGGAGGTTGCAGTGAGCTGAGATCATGCCACTACAGTTCAGCCTGGTGACAGAGCAAGACTCCATCTCAAAAAAAAAGAAAAAAAAAAAAAAAAAAAAAGGCCGGGTCAGATCCATGTCTGCTGTGGAGAAGGATGTTTGAAGCATGTTCAGTGAAGAGGGCAGTTTATAAAAGAATATGTCCACATTATATGATGCAGTGCCTTAAGGGTGTCTACATAGAAAAATCTAGATGGGAACTCCAAAATGTGCACCTCTGGGTGGTGGAATATAGTGTGAATTTTCACCTGCTCTTCTGGCTAGTTTATTTTTTAAATTTCCGCATGCCACACCCCGTTCCCTCTTTCACTGAGCCTCTGGCAGTGACCCCTTTTCCGTTTGCTCTCTAGGCAGTGCTCATCGTGGTCACTGTGGCCTTCGTCCAGGTGAGTATTTCCCAAGGTCCCGGTCAGGGGAACCCGGGCAGGGCAGGAGCTGCGTGGGGTTCCCACCTCTGAACAGTACGTCTGGTGTGCTCCCTGCCAGGAGTACAGGTCGGAGAAATCTCTGGAAGAGCTGACCAAGCTGGTTCCTCCAGAATGCAACTGGTAAGTCAGGGCCTCCCTTGGACTTTTTGGCTCACTGGAGGAGCCAGGGAGCTGGAGAGTCTGGCAAATGTTTGGTGAAAGTTGTATCCTCGGTAATGCCGAACTAGAGAACCACATCTCACTGGGAGTTCGAAGGCCTGGTCTCCGCCTGCCAACAGGCCGCTGTGTGTCCTTGGGCATGTCACTCAACCTCTGTGGGCCTCAACTCTCCCATCAGTGTCTAGATCAGGGTACCTAGCCTGAGGGCCACAGGTGGCAGGAGTGACTCTGGGAAGAGGGTCATCCACAAAGCCTGTGAAATAGTGTGTAGAACCGTGTGTACTTTTTCTAGGGAGAGGGTGTGGAGGTTTATTTGACTCCTCAACCAAGGGACTCAGGAGACAGTAAGGCCCAGGGCTTTAGCAAGCTGAGGCATCAGAACGTGGGCTGCAGCGTGGGGCACAGAGAGTGAACTTGAGTAACTGCTGAGCAGCCGCAGCAGCCTCTCCTGCCCACACCTTTCCACGGTGCTGTTTGGTATTGCACAGCTCTTCCCAAAGATGTTTAACACGGAAAGAGAAAAGATTCAAATATCCGCCAGTATCACATGGGCGTTTCTGCTTAGCCTAGCCCTGTGCAATGCGGCACCTGACACACTAAATTCTTTTTTTTTCTTTTCTTTTTTTTTTTTTGAGATCCTGCCATTGTACATTGTGTCGTCCTGCCTGGGCGACACAGCAAGACTTTGTCTCAAAAAAAGAAAAAAAAAAAAAATTAGCTGGGCATGGTGGTGGGCACCTGTAATTCCAGCTACTTTGGAGGCTCGCTCTTGTTGCCCAGGTCAGAGTGCAATGGCACAAGCTCAGTTCACTGCACCCTCCGCCTCCTGGGTTCAAGCAAGTCTCCTGCCTCAGCCTCCTGAATAGCTGGCATTATAGGCTTGTACCATTACACCTGGCTAATTTTTATATTTTTAGTAGAGATGGGGTTTCATCCTGTTGCCTAGGCTGGTCTTGAACTCGTAACCTCAGGTGATCTGCCTGCTGCCGCCACCCAAAATGCTGGGATTACAGGTGTGAGCCAGCGCACCCGGCCAACAAACTAGATTCTCAATGTTATTTAATTTTAATTTTTATTTAAATATACACATGGACCTAGTGGGCTACCATGTTGGGCAGCTCAGCTTAGAACATCTGCCATTGATGGAGGAAGCTGGCAGACCCAGGAGGGAAAATGACTTTTCTTTCTTTCTTTTTTTTTTTTTTTTTTTGAGAGGGTCTGGCTCTGTTGCCCAGGCTACAGTGCAGTGGCAGCATCTCAGCTCATTGTAACCTCTGCCCACATCCTGGATTCAAGCAATCCTCCTGCCTTGGTTTCCCAGCTTACTGGGAATACAGGTGCGTGCCACCACGCCCAACTAATTTTTTGTATCAGTTGGTGCAAAAGTGTTTGCATTTTTTGCATTTTTAATTTTTAAACCTGATTTTGTGTGTGTGTGTGTGTGTGTGTGTGTAGATGGGGTTTCACTGTGTTGCCCAGGCTGGGAAAACAGCTCATTCTAAGCTTACCTTTTAGCCTCACAGTGGTCCAAAAGCTCGTTCTACTTGTAGAAAATGAAATGATTTCAAGAATGGCTGAAGTCTTCTCCCAGCCCCTGCTAATATTGGTTGGGGTTGTTTCAGGCTGATTTCTCTTTCCCAAACATACGTTGCTGCTAAAAGTGACAGAAAGTATCCCATGATTAGCCGGGCACAGTAGCTCATGCTTGTAATCCCAGCACTTTGGGAGGCCAAGGCAGGCGGATCACCTGAGGTCAGGACTTTGAGACCAGCCTGGGCAACATGGTAAAACCCTGTCTCTACTAAAAATAAAAAATTAGCGGCCAGACATGGTGGCTCATGCCTGTAATCCCAACACTTTCGGAGGCTGAGGCAGGTGGTTCACCTGAGGTCAGGAGTTCGAGACCAGCCTGACCAACATGGTGAAGCCCTGGCTTTACTAAAAATAACAAAAATTAGCTGGGTGTGGTGGCAGGTGCCTGTATATCCCAGCTACTTGGGAGGCTGAGGCAGGAGAATCACTTGAACCCGGGAGGCAGAGGTTGCAGTGAGCTGAGATCCTGCCACTCTAGCCTGGGCAACACAGTGAGACTTCGTCTCAAAAAAAAAAAAAAAAATTAGCTGGGCGTGGTGGTGGGTACCTGTAATTCCAGCTACTTTGGAGGCTGAGGCAGGAGAATTGCTTGAACCCAGGAGGTGGAGGCTGCAGTCAGCCAAGATCACTCCATTGTACGGCAGCCTGGTGACAAGAGCAAAACTGTCTCAAAAAAAAAAAAGTTTCAGGCCGGGCACAGTGGCTCACACTTGTAATCCCAGCACTTTGGGAGGCCGAGGCGGGTGGATCATGAGATCAAGAGATCGAGACCATCCTGGTCAATATGGTGAAACTCCATCTCTACTAAAAATACAAAAAAATTAGCTGGGCATGGTGGCGCGTGCCTGTAATCCCAGCTACTCAGGAGGCTGAGGCAGGAGAATTGCCTGAACCCAGGAGGCGGAGGTTGCGGTGAGCCGAGATCGCGCCATTGCACTCCAGCCTGGGTAACAAGAGCGAAACTCCGTGTCAAAAAATAGTTTCTCATAATCTGGGGTGCACCTGGGTGACAAGAGCAAAACTCTGTCTCAAAAAAAAAAAAAAAAAAGTTTCTCGTGATCTGGGGTGCCTGGGAACAACTCAGCACACCCTCTTGAGTCTCCAAGACCCATTTCCAACATTTCCAAATATATGGCAAGTCTGTATTTTCTGAAGGATAACCTTCAGAGAGAGCTGTAGTATATATCTGGGCACATATTGTGCCACTGAGCCATGGGGCTGCGGTGGAAAGCGCTGGTGAGGTGCAGTCCCACCTCTCAGAGAGTCAGCATTCAAGGTGGGGTGTATAATACAAGGTGGAGAATGACGGAGGACCCAACAGGGACACAAAGGGGATGCTACAGAACGGCCGCACATGGGGGGTGAGTCCATTGTAGAAGGCCCGCAGGAGCGGTAGCAACGTCTGGACTCACTGGTCTCGAGGCCGGCGCTGTCCGAAATCCAGACGTGCGATGTCTGTAACGGCGCAAACGGAAGCATACATGATTTATGTGGTCTGATGATCCGATCTTCAGCTTAAATATCAAGTCTTGGCCTTTCAGGTGACTGGTGTGCATTATTGATGTCTCCCCGGGAGGTCACTTCTGAAAGACAGTTTTATTTACAAAAACAGCAGTGTCGGGCAGCCCGGTGGAGTTGAAAGAGCACTGAAGAGGTGGAGCCCATCTCTGAGTCCCTGAGACCCACCTCCCAATCAAGGGAAACCCTGCCGTGCGGGACCCCTCCCTGTGGTACTCCATCCCTGGTGCAGCCATCATGTATTGATTGAGTACCTGCTGTATGCCCGGGGAAAGGGCACTGAGGTCATACAAGTGGAAGAAATGAGGAGGCCTCGGCCTTTGGGGAACTCGCATTCCTGGCAAGGGACTACATGACGAGCCAGGGAAGAAACAAGATGACTTTGGAATTGTCCAGGTACACAAAAGCCAAAAGATACCCAAAGCCACCAAAACAAATAAAAATACGCCACTGAGATGTAATGGTGACTGGTGGCAGGCTGACATTTAGAGAGGAGGTGACATTTAAGTTGAAGCCTGAGGAACAGGAGCCAGCCACAGGAAGAGCTGAGGGAGCAGCAGGTAGATTTCTGGTAGGTGCCCTTGGCTACAAGGAACAGAAAATCCAATTGCAGAAACCCCAAGGAAACTATATTGTCTCATAGCCAGGGATCTGAGGAGGGGGCTGTGGGGTCAGTTAATTCAGGAGAGCACCAAGGGCCTGGCCCTTTCAGCTCCTTACCCTGCCGCCTTCAGCTCACTTTGGTTGGGTTGGTTCTTGGCTTGCTCCCCTCATGGTCCCCAGATGGCTGCCACAGCTCCAGACATCACAGCCAAACATGCAAAGGCCCTTTAGAAGAAGGGTGTGTGTGTGTGTATCTGCACGCACATGCAGTAAGGAAATCTTTTCCCACAAGTCCCCAGCAAACATTCACTCATGTCTCACAGGCCGGTGTTGCATGATGTGCTGATACCTAAACTACTCATGGGCAGGAGTCTTAGCCAGGCATGACCCACTCCCTGGAGCCCGTGGCTATGGAGAGAGGGTGGGTACCTGAACAAGATCAAATTCCATTAACGAGGAAGAGGGGAATGTCTGCTCCAGCCTTCGAGGTCTGCAAAACCGCTGAGACCAGGAGCCTGTGTGTTTAAGGGGGCTGCATGGAATGAGACGGGAGCTGCAGGAGGCCCGCCTGCCCAGGAGGGGATCTTGGGGTTTGGTACCAAGGTCATGGGAAAGCTATTGGAGGGTTGGGAGCAGGAGGGAGTCGGGGTCTGTTTGGGGCTTCTAAGAGCTCTCTGGTTGCCATATGCAGGATGGGTTGAAGGGGCCAGGTGGGGGACAGGCGAGGGGCGGTGGTGGGGGGCGGATTCCAGTTGGAGCCTGCAGAGAAGCACATCTGTAGTCTGAGGGCAGCTGGTCATGGCCCCAAGGGAAGGGAGGTTCTGGGCTTCTTAGGCATTTAAGATGCTCCTCCCAGCTGTGACAAGGCTCTGCCACTCCTGACTTCCTGAGACAGACTCTGCACCCTGAGTGCTGTGTGCTCTGAAGACAAAACTCTGCCGGATGCATTCAGAAGCTTTAGAACCACTGACCTTGACCCCAGGAGCCGCCCTGGGGCTTGTGGCCACCTGCTTTCTAGGCAGGGTAAACACAGCGGCCTCATCTTTTAGATGGGGCCCAGGAATGCCCAGAAACCGCATGCTTTCCTTAAGGTCTTTTAGGATGTGTTAATTTCAAAATAATCACATCCTAAAGGCACAGGGTTGGTGTATAATTAAAAGAAAAAAATGTGTTTCTATTCTCCTTGCTCAAATGCATCAAAGTGTAATGTCTGCATGGGTGATTTTGCTTTTTACCATGTCAAATGCAGCCTAAGAGAAGGGAAACTCCAGCATCTGCTTGCCCGAGAACTGGTTCCTGGAGATGTGGTATCTCTCTCAATTGGAGACCGGATCCCTGCAGACATCAGACTCACTGAGGTGAGCGGTCCCAAACCCTTGTCGATGGGGTCTTAGAGTGGTTGTGGGGATGGGGGGTCAGGGAGCAGACGCTTAGCTTATTGTAGGCATGCATATTCTCTCTCGTACACACGTTCTCAAACATACATGCACACGTACACGTATGCACACAAGACAGGAAGGAAGTTAGCAGACAAGGGTGTTCTACGCGAAGACCTCCCCCAAACCGCATTTCTCTTTTTTGAAGTGGAGTCTTGCTCTGTGGCCCAGACTGGAGTACAGTGGTGCCATCTCAGCTCACTGCCACCTCCGCTTCCCAGGTTCAAGTGATTGTGCTACCTCAGCCTCTCAAGTAGCTGGAATTACAGGCGCCTGCCACCATGCCCGGCTAATTTTTGTGTTTTTAGGAGAGAGACGGTTTCACTATGTTGGCCAGGCTGGTCCCGAACTCCTGACTTTGTGATCTGCCCACATCGGCCTCCGAAAGTGCTAGGTTTAGGGGCGTGAGCCACGCGCCTGGTCCAAGCCATATTTTATAAATTGTTATTCTCACTCTAAGCCTAACAAATTTTGTCTACGTGGTTTTCCAGTTTAAAGCAGACTACAATAACAAATTAAACTGAGGTGGGCTTGGGGAATGTCACAAGAGTTGCCTCTGAAAACAAATACACAAATGCTAGAAGTGATATTAGAGGCAGGTGGATCACCTAAGGTCAGGAGTTCAAAACCAGCCTGGCCAACATGGTGAAACCCCATCTCTACTAAAAAAAAAAAACAATTATTAGCCAGGCATGGTGGTGTGCACCTGTAATCTCAGCTACTCAGGAGGCTGAGGCAGGAGGATCACTTGAACCCAGGAGGTGGAGGTTGCAGAGAGCCAAGACCATGCCACTGCTCTCCATTCTTGGCGGCAGAGTGAGAAGCACACGCTTTTAGAGTATCGAGGTTTGGGGATGTTGGCTGTGGGCTAAGCTTTGTGGGTCTCTGGGTTTCACAGAGCCATGCCTGAGGCACTCTGCTGAGATTATCCTGGGTTCTCAGGAGGTTAAATCAACTTCAACATGATTTGTTGATGGGAGTAATCTATTTCAAGGATCCGTCCAGGAATGTGTAAGGACTGTTGAAAGCTTTGCGTGATGAAGGACTGGGCGCAGACTATCTGCCTGATTTATTTACTGATGGGATGTGGTTCTCAGAAACTGAAGGATCAAGGACCTGCTGTTAAAAGGGCAGTGTCAGGGAAGGGGAGGGAGCTGCTCCCCGGGGCCTGCGTTTACAACATTCCCAGCCTGTCTGTGAAATAGGCGGTGGCCAGAGCCGCCTTATGTGTGGCCACCTGGACGTTGAGCCTCTCTTTCCTGACCACCTCTGCCCAGATTTCCAGACAGGGCAGGGATAGCGTAGAGGATGTTCAGGTGCCACAGTGAAAGAGGGCTCACGGTGCCCTTTGCCGCACTGGAAATAGATCCTTTGCGGCCCCCGCCTCTCCCCATGTTCAGCTCCAGCAGTCAGTGTGTGACCCCGTCTGGAGTGCATGGATCCGGTCAGAGGAACCACTGTCTGTGATCAGTCTCCACCTTCAGGGAGGACGAGGGAAGCCGGTGTCACGTTTTCCACTTTTCTCCTGAGAGGGGGTCCTAATAGGAGATGCTCCAGACGCCAGGTAGTCCGTGAGAAGGACACAGCTCCCCACAGGTGCTGGTGCAGAGGCAGAGAGAGGCCGTGTGAGACATGCCCAGGGACCCGAGGCTGGGCATTAGCCTGGGCTTGAGCCCTGAGTCCATCATTCAAAGCCGTGTGACCAGCTGGGCACTGTGGCTCATGCCTGTAATCCCAGCACTTTGGGAGGCTGAGGCAGGTGGATCACCTGAGGTCAGGAGTTTGAGACCAGCCTGACCAATATGGTGAAACCCCATCTCTACTGAAAATACAAAAATTAACCTGGCACAGTGGCGCAAACCTGTAATCCCAGCTACTCAGGAGGCTGAAGCAGGAGAATCCCTTGAGTCCAAGAGGCTGAGGTTGCAGTGAGCTGAGATTGCGCCACTGCACTGCAGCCTGGGTGACATAGTGAGACTTTGTCTCCAAAAAAAAAGCTGTGCGACCTTGAGCAAGTTACTTAACCTCTCTGTGCCTCAGTTTTCTCATCTGCAAAAGGAGGGGGGGTGATGCCCACAGGATACTTGTGAGGATTAAAAATGTTCGGAGACACCAACTGCTGAGAACGGTGCCTGGCATGGGTGAGTGAGAGGTGAGCGCCAGGCTGCCATTGCTGCAGTGTGTGTTGGGAGTCAGAGAACTCTGAGCCCTGCTCCTAGGGGGTGACTTGGGGAAGGAATTCACCTCTCTGAGCTTCGATCTCCTCATCTCTCAAAGGGGCCGATGTTGGTTTCCATTTCTCAGGGTTGCTGTGAAGACGGAACAAGCTGTGACCTGCACTGTGCTTAGCACGTGCCTTTCATGGGCTGACGGTCACCAGACACTAGTGATTGCTTTTCTGTTTTATTGTCGGTCTGGTCTGTATAACGGTTCTTTGAAGCAGCTTTTTAGAGCCCAGATAACGCCCTTACTTCGGTTGGCTTTCTCTCTAACCTGCTTACACTAAATTAAACTGTGGCTGGCCACAGTGGCTCACCCTGTAATCCCAGCCCTTTGGTGGCCAAGGCGAGCAGATCGCTTGAGCCCAGGAGTTCAAGTCCAGCCTGGGCAGCATAGAAATACCTGATCTGGACAAAAAACACTGTGCCTGTGTATTGATATCGTGAAGGTTATTTTAAGGTGACTGGCTGTGGACACTCTGGGTTTTCCTGGTGGTATTTTGCAAGTCCATTGAACAACCAACACCTTTGTCTGGTCAGTGGAAAGTCCTTATCAGCTATTCAGCTCTGAGATCCAGGACTACTTCAAATGTACATTTTCTTTTTTTTTGAGACGGAGTTTCACTCTTGTTACCCAGGCTGGAGTGCAATGGCGCCATCTCGGCTCACCGCAACCTCCACCTCCTGGGTTCAGGCAATTCTCCTGCCTCAGCCTCCTGAGTAGCTGGGATTACAGGCACGTGCCACCGTGCCCAGCTAATTTTTTTTTGTATTTTTAGTAGAGACGGGGTTTCACCATGTTGACCGGGATGGTCTCAATCTCTTGGCCTCGTGATCCACCCGCCTCGGCCTCCCAAAGTGCTGGGATTACAGGCGTGAGCCACCGCGCCCGGGCTCAAATGTACATTTTCAAACCATATAGGTCCAGCAGGTTTGGCAGGAAGCAGCGAGATCAAGAAAGCTCTTTAAGTGATAGTCCCTTTTGCACAGTATATGGGGTCCCAGAACATTTTTTGCCCTTTCCCAGCGTTAAAACAGAGGAAGCCCTCAGTTAGAGGCTGAGCTGGTACAGCCAGCAAAGCTGGGGCACTGGTCGTTCTTTCTCCCCACCCATGTCTAAAATAAAAAGGGAATGGGGTTGGGGGTGACAGGATGCCAAGGGAGGCTTTGTCTTGGAGTGGGGCATGAGCCCTGCATGTGGGGGACAGGAGGTGAGCCTGCAACTGTTCCCCTGCTTCAGGCTGGGCCCACCTCCTTGGTGGCCACGGGTTCTGTGGCCCCGACTCTATTCTTGCTCTGTCTGAGTTCTTCCCTCACCCCTCCCTGCCCCTTATCTGAGATTGTGCCCTGGGAGCCTGGGAGGTCGCCGGCAGCCCCTCCTGCCGAACACATACACAACCAGCTTCCCATCTCTCGGCCTGGAGGATCCAGCTAAACTTCTGCCTGCCTTTATTTTTCTCATGTAAAGACGACAAATACTTTTCAGTATATCAGGCCTGTGCTAGCAGACCAGTCTATAAGGTCTGTATGAAAACTGCCTCATTTCATTTCCAGCACTGTGGCTTTTCCTCGTTATTTTACTACATGGACACAGCAGCCCAGAGAGGTTGCGTGGCCCCGTGAGGTCACACGCCAGTGGGCGGTGGAAGGGGACTCGACCCTGCGCCTCTGCTCCACAGCCCATGTGCTTACCCGCAGGGCGTTTTCTCTCTCCCTGTGAGCAGCTGTTTAGACTGGTCCTGGCGCTGCCTCTCCCCCGGGTCTCCTCGGTGCATCCGTTGACTGCAGCTCCCGTGGCAAGTGACCACTTACTTAGGGGCTTAGAACAAGGCAAAGGTATGGTCTGACCTTCTGGAGGTCAAAACCGAAACTGATTTCATTGGGTGGAAATCAAGAGTGTTAGAGTGTTATCAGGGTCCAGGCACAGTGGCGCACTCCTGTAATCCCAGCACTTTGGGAGGCTGAGGAGAGCGGATCACTTGAGGTCAGGAGTTTGAGACCAGCCTGGACAACATGACGAAACTCCCATTTCTGCTAAAAATACAAAAATGAGCTGGGTGTGATGGCATGTGCCTCTAGTCCCAGCTACTCAGGAGGCTAAGGCAGGAGAATGGCTTGAATCTGGGAGGTGGAGGTTGCAGTGAGCCAAGATCTCACCACTGCACTGCAGCCTGGGTGACAGAGCAAGACTCCATCTTAAAAAAGGGAGGGAAATGGTGCTATCCGGGCCATGCTCCTCCAGGGGAGAAGCCATTTCCTGGCCTCTCCCAGCTTCTAGAAGCCGCCTGCATTCCTTGGCTCATGGCCCCACATCCCCACACCACTCTGCTTCTGTTACCACATCCCCCTGATGTCAGACATTCTCCAACCCTCCTGCCTCCCCCTCCCTTATAGGGATCCTTGTGATCTCGCTGGGCCCCCCCAGTCACCCAGATCAAGGTCCTTCAGTTAGTCACATCTACAAAGTCTCTGTCACCACATCAGAGAACGTGTTTCCACATTCTGAGATTAGGATGTGGATCATGGAAAAGCTGGAGGGTGGGGGACGTTATTCAGCAGGCCACTCTCAGGCCCTTCTCCAGGTCCCCTCCTTTCCTGCCCTGGGGCCCCCAACCTCATTCTCCATCCACATCACTCATTCATTCCACAAGTATTTCCCGAGCACCTACCATATTCCAGGCCCTGGGCTGGGTGCCTAGGACACTGTGCGGGAATCAGACCTGGTCCCGGTGCTCATGAGTTTATAGCCCAGAGTGACAGACCAACCTAAATCTACACATGACAAGCACTGTTCCAGGACTGCTAAGGGACCCATGAGTGGAAGTACTGGGAATCCTGGATGTACAAAATGAGAGAGACTTGCCTGGCCTGGTGCAGTCAGGGAGGGCTTCCTGGAGACAACAGCTTTTGACAAAAATCAGCTGTTTTAGGCAAAGGAGGCCCAAGATACTTGTCTCACTCTGACCTAGAAGCCTGATAAGTTGTTGCTTTCAGCCGCCATGGGGGTGCCTGAAATCCCCTCCCCAGCACATGTGACTTAGCCTGTCTCATCCAGAGGCCTCCGCTCCTGTCCCTCCTCCCAGGCCTTCCCCCCACAGCCTCTTCTGAGGGGCCTCCCTCCCTGCTCTGTGCACGTTGGTGTTCATTCCAGTGCTGGTCTATTGTCGGTCCCTCCCCGTCCTCCATGGAGTATCGTCTTCTTGAGGCAGGAATTCTATCCCATTCATTGCTGTATTCCCAGTGCCCAGAGGAGTCCCTGGCCCAGGGGAGGGTACGATGAACACGTCTCACCTGCATCCCCATCTGCGCAAACCCACACCCACTCCCCACCCTGCGTCCTCCTCTTTCAAACGCCTCCTCATTCTTCCTTCTCTGCTAGCTGCCTTCCTGGGGTGGGGTTCACCTTTGCTCTCTCCCTTTCTTCATTTTTTTTAAAAAGGAGTTTATTATTTAGAAGTGTTTTAGATTTGCGGAAAAATTCAGCTCAGGGTTCCCATGTACACATCGCCCAGGATCCCTTCCTGTTCATACCTCATGTTACTCAGCTGCATCGGTCACAGCTAAGGACCTGTATCAATGCCTCCTTGTTACCTTGAGTCCGTGCCACTTTCTGATCGCCGTCGATTTCCTTCGTGTCCCTTTGCTGCTCCGGGATCCCACGTGACAGTTAGTGGTCATGTCTCCTGAGGCTCTTGTTGGCTGTGACAGTTTCTGACTTTCCTGGTTTTTGGGGTTTTTGTTTGTTTTGTTTTTGAGACAGAGTCACTCTGTCACCCAGGCTGGAGTGCAGTGGTGCGATCTTGGCTCACTGCAACCTCTGCTCAGGAGGCTGAGGCAGGGTTCAAGTGATTCTCCTGCCTCAGCCTCCTGAGTAGCCGGGATTATAGGTACCCACCAGCATGCCCAGTTAATTTTTGTATTTTTAGTAGAGACGGGGTTTCACTACTACTGTTGGCCAGGCTGGTCTTGAACTCTTGACTTCAAGTGATCTGCCTGCCTCGGCCTCCTAAAGTGCTGGGATTACAGGCATGAGCCACTGCACCCGCCCAACCTCGACAGTTTTGAGGAGCACCAGCCAGGTATTTTCCAGAATATTCCTTGAGCCTCCTTCAAAGATTTTCCCCAGCATCATTCAGTGACTTCTTATTCTTCATTGTCCAGAGCTGGAGGCGCGGGAGCCACAGGGAGGCAGGAATGTGGCTGTGCAGCAGGGGCCTAGCCTCCCCAACACTGTGGGGTCCATTAGAAAGGAAGTGAGGAGACAGGTATTCCCTGGACAGGTGGTGGCCACTGTCGTTCCTGGGGACTGAGATCCTATGGCAGTGCACATATTTTTAAAAGATTATTACTAAATTTAAACATTTTTAAATTATAGAGAAGTCACAGGGCCCTGTTTGAGAATCACTGATCTAACTGTGGTTCACTGGTGCTTTGTGGAAGATGGCTTCTCTCTAGGTTGGTGTTAATCCTTATGTGACCAGGTCCCAAGGGTTAGGCCCACCCTAGCCCCGCTCTATGAACTTAGAGGTGTCTGGCTTGGTTCTGGCCCTGGGAGCCTCACCTTGGGAGTGATGCGTGCTAAGTGTGAGGTCACGTTGTGGTTGTGCAAGATGGTTAAGGGTATAGTTTCTGGAACCAGAGCTTTGGTTCAAATCTCTGTTCTGCCACTAACTAGCTGTGGAAAGTTGAACAAATTACTTAATCCCGCTGTGCCTCAGTTTCCCCATATGCAAAATGGGGACGATAATAGCATCTTTCATTGGGGGTGGTGAGGTCTGAGGGCTAAGCCTTGTGGGGAGTTTAGCGCAGGGCTTGGCACATAGTCTGTATTCTACAAATGTCAGGACCTCCCTTCCTCTTTCCAGGGAGTGTGGGTGTCTCTGCCTCCCGGTCTGTGTTTCTGGTGTTAATGCACCTTAGATTCTCACCGAATAGGCTGGCTCAGGGACTGTGCGGGAGCCACACAGCTGGTACAGGCATCTCCAAGGTGAAGAGTAGACTGCGTGTGAGGAGATGCACACAGGTGTTTTGAAAGGTATTTCCTAAAATAGCCATCGCTTTTTTTTTTTTTTTTTTTTTTAGATTGTATCCAAATTTCCAACAATATTAAGAGAAGGTATAAGACTTTTATGTTTTTAAGAGGGGCCACTCATTGACAGCGTTTCCAGCCCTGGAGGACCCAGAGTCCATCATTGTGACACTCACTCCCAGAGCTCCCCGTGTTCTCTTTTCGTGTCCATTGAGGTGCTGGTCCCATTTGTGCTTTTAACACCAATTCCTGGGGTGACAGGGAGATTCCACAGGCTTTTCCCCTTGCTCTCCTAGGTCACGGACCTCTTGGTGGATGAATCCAGTTTCACCGGGGAAGCCGAGCCATGCAGTAAAACAGACAGCCCCTTGGCAGGCGGCGGGGACTTCACCACCCTGAGCAACATTGTCTTCATGGGGACCTTGGTGCAGTATGGGAGGGGCCAGGTAAGCCCTGGGGCTCTGAGGCCTTGGGATCCCATAACCCACAGACTCCCTGTCATTAGATTTCATGCTTCTCTCTCTCTCCTGGACACAGGGGGTCGTCATTGGAACAGGGGAAAGCTCTCAATTTGGAGAAGTGTTTAAGATGATGCAGGCGGAAGAGGTAAGGGGGGCGGGAGGGGCTTTGGGATTTTTGAGTTTGAGATGATTATAGGCAAATACCACCAGCCCTGCCTACTCCTTAGGAAGGAGGGGCATGTGGTTAGTGTGAGTATACTTTTTAAAGATTTGATTTTTTTTTTTTTTTTTTGTACAGACAAGGTTTTGTCATGTTGCCCAGGCTGGTCTCGAACTCCTGAGCTCAAGCAGTCTGTCTGCCTCAGTCTCCCAAAGTGCCAGGATTACAGGCGTGAGCCACCAAACCTGGCCTCTTTTTAAACATGTAAGACGTCATTAGCCTTTTCATAAAGATCCAGCTTTCAGACAGTAACACGCGCAGATCTTCAGTGCAGAAGTCAATGAATGTTGACACACTCTACGCCAGTCACTCAAGCTGTAGGATGGCAAGGTGAAGACATTTTGAACAAAGGCAGGCAGAAGCTGGGCTGTTGCCTGCCTAACCCATTGTGCTCACCCTTTCAGACACCTAAAACTCCTCTGCAGAAAAGCATGGACAGGCTAGGAAAGCAACTGACACTCTTCTCCTTTGGCATAATTGGTGAGTGAAGCAGTTTCCGTGCCGGGCTCTGGGAATAAGAGGTAAATGCTCTGCAGGTGGAAGGGAGCCATCATGGGGTGGCCACCATGGCCGTTTCTTAAATATCTTGCTACTCAGCTGAATAAGGTTTGGGGATTGGGATCAGAGGGGGTCCAAAAGCAACAGGAGCTTTCTGTATAGTTGGACCAGGCTGACCACTGTAAGAAGCAGCCCCTACATTTTCTTGGCTTAACATAGTAAACGCTTGTTCCTTGCTCATGCCACAGTCTGTGGGTGCATTCCTGGTCCCATAAGTGGCTCTCCTGGATAGCTCCCTTATGAGCACTGACTTGTTGCTCTGTCTTCCTCTGGGTCCTTAGAGGCCATGTTTCTGTTCAGCCAGCAGATGTGAAAGAGAGAATATGGAGGCTTGTGGGGGACATTTTTAAGGCCTACACCAGGAAGAGGAGTCATCTATTTGCCCATGTTTTAATGGCCAGAATGGAGTCACATGGCCTATGTAACTGCAAAGGAGACTGGGAAATGTAGTTTAGCTGTGCACTTAACCATATTTCTATGCTTCTAAGCAGCCTGTGCCTGGGCTGGGACTTCCTGACCTTTGGTAACATGCTCAACAGCATTGGCATGATACTGCAGTCCTGAATCTAGATCTTAAGCCTTAACATCCCCGGGGTGCTGCCCCAGTCCCTTCACAAGCTTCTTCCTGCTGTTTCCAGCTCTGGCCTTGCTTCTGTGTCCTTTATTCCAGCCTTTAGGATTAAACAGTGCCTGGCCTCTAATAGATAGATTCTCAGTAAACATTTGTTGAGTGAAAAATTTAAACAAGGAATAAAGCAACAAGCCACTGCCTATAGCACGTGCAATAATGAGGAAGGTGCTGGTGAATGTGGCCGAAACTGTAGAGCCAGAGAACAGTCTTGGGAGAAACAGATTATGTAAGCCCATGTTTACGTAGTTAAAACCAGAACTGAAACTGACATGTCCACAGCAAGGCCTGTGATACTACTCAGACCTTTTTTTTTGAGATGGAGTCTTGCTCTGTTGCCCAGGCTGGAGTGCAGTGGTGTAATCTTGGCTCACTGCAACCTCCACCTCCTGGGTTCAAGTGACTCTCCTGCCTCAGCTTCCTGAGTAGCTGGGATTACATGCGTGCGCCCCCATGACTGACTAATTTTTGTATGTTTGGTAGAGACAGGATTTTGCTATGTGGCCCAGGGCTGGTCTTGAACTCCTGGCCTCAAGTGATTCACCCACCTTGACCTCCCAAAGTGCTAGGATTACAGGCTTGGGCCACCACAGGCTTTTTTTTTTTCATTTTGAGAACTGCTCTAGCAGAGGGAGAGTTTTGAACTGAGTCCCATGGACCCCCTAGAAGGCCCAAGGGCAGGTGCAGGGAAGCAGCGCCATGCTCGTCAGTACTTCTAGGGGAAAGTAACATTTGCCTTTTATCCCATGTTCTAAATACTCTCTGTTGGCCATTTCAAGCTACTAATATATAGATACTGAACAGGGATTTTGGAAGAGATGAACATAGTTGATTCTTGTGAGCTCCTGTGAGGAATCCAGCCTTCTACTATGGGAAGGCCATGAGGGCAGCGTAAGTTCCTAGCAGGGGTGGCTCCAGGCTCAGTGCCTCAACCCTGTGTCCAATAGCGCTCTCCCTGCTAATCTGTTTCATTTCCGTCCATTTGGGTTCTAGCTAAGATTTCAGTTGATGACTGAGTTTAATAGCTAATTGTAGGATGCCCAGAACAAAGCTACCAGATACTGTGGCAGCCCCCTCCCTCAACATACAAATGCACGCACACCACCACCACCCAGCAGGAAACATCCCTGGCTCCCTGTCCCCGGCAAAGCGAAGCTGATGGTCTTTAGCAAGCTCTCCAAGGGCGTCACCCGGCAACCCCACCCACCTTCCCAGTCCCTACTCACTCCTTCCGATAATGATGGCAATAAGAGTTAACAATTAGGCTGGTGTTTGCTGTGACCCAGGAGCTGTGCTGAGCACAGCCTGTCACACCTTAAACCAGGGAACTATTCTTTGAGGAGCCCACAGCCATTAGCCCCATTTTACAGATGAGGAGACTCAGGCTGCACCGGGCAACCCGAGCACATTCCCAGATGCCAGAGCATCTCGTGAAATTTCACAGGCCCCCTGCAGCTCTTGCCATTTGTGCCTTGAGGGTCTATCTGTGATCATCTCCGTGTCTCTTACACGTAGGGAACTTCTGGTGTTCAGTAAATATTTGGTAAATTATTAATGAAGGAAAATGGAAATGGAGTATGTTTAATCGTGAGTGCCACAGAATAAAATAATTTTAAAAAACCGTGGCCCATCTGCCCATCACAGGATGTTGGCCACACCAAACACCACACAGGGGCGTGTCCTGGATACACACAGCAGGTGGGGACTTTGGGAATAAGATGTAAATGCTTGCAACAGTCCAAAACAAACAATCGGGTCTTAAACTCGGCTTGGACCTTTCCTGGGAAAGTAAAACCAGGTTTTTCTAGGTGTAAATGTATCTCCTTTAAAGAGAAAAAAGGAGAGGGTTTGAAAATGAGGCTATCAGTGGTTTCTCTGTGCATGTGTCCTGTAGACTCTTTAAGGAAGTGGGTTTGAATTGCCTCCGGCATCAGCGTGTGCCGTGCATATGGAGATAAGGGTGCTTTTGTCTCTTCCCAGGTCTCATCATGCTCATTGGCTGGTTGCAAGGGAAACAGCTCCTCAGTATGTTCACGATTGGGGTCAGGTAAGGATGCTGTGGCCCCCCTTTCTTGCCAGGGTGGTAATGAAGCAGCATGGGCCTGGAGAAACAGACCTCTCCAACACAGAACTGGGAGGGAAGAGGTGTTTATTCTTAGTATCATTACTCTTACTATCATGGCTGGGAGCCAGGCGACAATTTGTCTAAATGACCAAGCTCGCCTAACAAAGGGGGGTCATTCATGAGGGGTCTGCCCGTCGTCTCTTCCCACCTCCAACACTGGGGCTTATGTTTCAACTTGAGGTTTGGGTGGAGGCACACGTTCAAACTACGTCACCTTCCTTGTCACTCTGCCCAGGATTTTGGGTTGTTCTGGCTAAGAGCAAGGACCCCAGAGCCAGCCTGCCTCTGTTTAAATTCTGCCCCTGCCACTTGCTGGTGTTGTGACCTCCAGCAAGTTTCGGAGCTCTCTGTGCCTCGGTTTCCTCCTCTGAAAACTGGGAATGGTCATATACCCTCTCCTTAGGTGGCGGACGGGAGTAAAGGAGTTGGTCCACGTGAGTGTGCTCACACGATATATGGTGCATAATGGGTGTTAGCTCTTATTACTAGTGTAGAACTCGATCCAAGCCCTTGTTTTACAAAGGAGGCTATCAGAGAGGCAATGGACGTGGAGCCCAAGGCCACACGGGGCACACCGGGCTGGGAGTCAGGGCACTTGATGATGCTAAGCCCAGGGGCCCCGCCCTTCTACATAGTGATTCTCATAAGTCCTCCCAAGCCCTGGGTCCTAGTGGCCGAGACGGGGAGAAGCATGGGCAGCCCAGCTTTGTGCTGTGATGTGACTTTGTCGGTAGCTCTTCCATGGCTATTTGCTGAGGCAAGAGAAGCAGAGGGCTGGGGATGGTCACTAACTGGGTGTGTCCCATTGGAAGAGAGGCTGGGGGCTACTCCAGGACTCGGAGGAACCAGCGCGTGCCTAGGCTCACGTCAGGCCCAGTGGTTCCCAGAGGGTAACGCACATTCTGCTGGTGTCTGCAGGATGCTTTTAATGCTTTTAGGTGACGTGGAAAATTATTTTAGTGTCTGGGGTGTGTGTGTGTGTGTGTGTGTGTGTGTGTGTGTGTGATTAGTACATCAAACCGATGATGAAAACAGACTTCAGTGTCCATCAACTAATGAATGAAAAAACAACATGGGAACAATGGAATATTTTTCAGCCACAGAAGGGAATGAAGTACTGATTCGTGCTCCAATGTGGATTCGTGTTGAACCCGTTTTGCTACGTAAAAGAACCCAGTTGCACATGTTATATGATTTCATTGATATAAAATATTCAAAAGTAGGTCACTTGGCCAGGTGCAGTAGCTCAGACCAGTAATCCCAGCACTTTGGGAGGCCAAGGCAGGAGGATCACCTGAGGTCAGGAGTTGGAGACCAGCCTGGCCAACATGGTAAAACCCTGTTTTTACTAAAAATACAAAAACAAACTGGGTGTGTGGAAGGCGCCTATAATCCCACCTACTCAGGAGGCTGAAGTAGAAGAATTGCTTGAGCCCGGGAGGCAGAGTCTGCAGTGCCCAAGATTGTCCCGTCGCACTCCAGCCTGAAAGACAGAGTGAGACTCCGCCTCAAAAAAGAAACAAACAGAAACATAGGTCACTTCATAGAAACAGAAAGTGGCGAGTGTCTGCCAGGGGCTGGGCGGGGGGATGAGTAGTGACTACTGACAGTTAGGGGGTTTCCTTTGGGGCTGAAGAAAATGTTCTGAAACTGATTGTGATCATAGGTGCCCAACTCTGGATACACGAACCACCATGAAATTGGAGCCTTTCTAACTTACATATGAAGAGTAAAGTGTGTGCTGAGTGAATGACGGCAGACAAACTCCCAGTGAACTGAGGCTTCCCAGTGTGTGCCAGGACACGGAGGTTTCTCTTGCTGGCCAGTGTGGGCAAGAGAACCTTGCTTGAAGGGTTGAGAGTACCGGGTCTGGTACATGGTGTCAGGTACATAGTCTCAGGTGTACACGGCTTTGGTGCATAGTCAGGCTTGCCTGTGTGTACGTGAATGTACATGGTTACCTGCTGTTTAGTAGTAGAGTAGCAGGAGTGGCCGAGGGAAAGGATCTCTCGGACACCGAATACAGGAGGAAGGAATTTATTTCAGCTGGGAGCAAGGTGGCATAGGTGCCTAACAGCCAAGCTCGTCTAACAAAGGGAGGTTCAGCCTTTACATAGGCTTATACTTTAGATGTTACACGTAGAAGAATCTTAGGTTCATAGTTTTAGGACTCACATGTGAAAAGGTTTCTGGTTTGCTCTTGTTTTAAGTAAAAACAGTGCCTTCTGGATAGTTTCCCCAAGGCCTAGCCTGTAGTTTTCAGGAAGGAGATTCAGGAGGCGCCAGCTGGCCTGTTCTCTCTTTTATTGAGATGCACAGTGGATGACAGAGCGGGAGGGAATTCCAAATGCCTGGGTCTCCCTCATCATCAGGAGAGATTCGAAATGCCTTATTTTTTCAATGACACTGTACAGTACATGTAAATTGAGGGGCAGGTGGTAACACGAGCGTGTGGGCAGGTATGTGTCATATTACAAAAGCATTCAGTTACTGTGTTTTGAGTGAATGGAAATTGGAAATACTGTGTCTGGCTTTAGATACTTTGTCACTCGGTGTATTTAACAAAATCTTAACCCTTAATCCTGAGATCACCCAAGAAAACATGATGAAAAAGAGGAGTTGGAATAGGTGATAATAACGTGGGCACACAGATGTGACAAAAATCACAAAAGCAAAATACAGATGACAGACATTTGGAAAACCCCGTCCCAGATCCACTCCAAGCCATGATAAAGTTCATGTCTTCCCTATAAAAAGAGATCCTGTAACAAGACACACAAGGCGTTCAAACCACATCAGAATACCTTTAGAGGATGGTTCAGTAGGAAAAGAAGAAAGCTGGACTAATAGAAAATAGTCGGCCGGGCGCAGTGGCTCACGCCTGTAATCCAGCACTCTGGGAGGCCAAGGTGGGTGGATCACGAGGTCAAGAGATCAAGACCATCCTGGTCAACATGGTGAAACCCCGTCTATACTAAAAATACAAAAAATTAGCTGGGCATGGTGGCATGTGCCTGTAATCCCAGCTACTCGGGAGGCTGAGGCAGGAGAATTGCTTGAACTCAGGAGGCGGAGGTTGCGGTGAGCCGAGATCGCACCATTGCGCTCCAGCCTGGGTAACAACAGCAAAACTCCGACTCAAAAAAAAAAAAAAAAAAAAAAAAAAAAGAAAGAAAATAGTCTTTGGGTTTTATCCTTAAACAACCTATATAAATAAGTGGATGAATGCCGGAGTTTGGACTTCCCCCAAACGTATCTGGAACCATGAAATGACGCTGCGGCGCTGTACGGATGGTTCTTGCTGGGTTGCAGGGTTTTCCCCGAGGACACGCCCGGTTCCTCAGTCCGTTTTGCTGTTGGCCCTGCTTGGATAATGAAGCCCAAGGGGCTCTATTGATTGTAGGACGGTCTTGATTTCCAGTGAACTGGGGCTTCCTGGCTTAATATCCTGAATGGAATGATCTTCATGGAGTGTTTTGTTGTTGTTTGTTGTTTGTTTTTTAATTAAGATGGAGTTTCACTTTTGTTGCCCAGGCTGGACTGTAATGGCACGATCTCTGCTCACTGCAACCTCCACCTCCCAGGTTCAAGGGATTCTCCTGCCTCAGCCTACCCAGTAGCTGAAATTATAGGAGTGCACTAGCACGGCCAGCTAATTGTTTGTATTTTAAGTAGAGACAGGGTTATATTTTAAGTAGAGAGAGGCACATTGGCCAGGCTGGTCTCAAACTCCTGACCTCAGGTGATCCACCCACCTCGGCCTCCCAGAGTGCTGGGATTACAGGTGTGAGCCGCCGCACCCAGCCTTCACGGAGCTTTCGAGAGGCATTTATCCTTCTGTGTAAGTGTATGTAGCACGTAACTGCATGATCGCTTTGTATTAATTTCATTGAATCCCTTTCATGTTCACATAGTGTTGGGATAGGGGGAGTTTGTGAACTAGACAGTCATGGTTCCTGCCTTCAAAGGATTGTGGGTCTCAGTGGGGATGGAGAATCAATGGGAGTCAAGGGCAAGAGGGAGAAGGTGGGAAAGAGAGCCCGAAGCTGAGATCTGGAGGAGCTGTGTCTGATGTGATGAGGCCTTGGATGGGACTGGGAGTGCAAAACAAAGTACCACAAACTGCAGGGCCAGGAACAGAAGCTTCTCGCCATTCTAGAGGCAGGAGCCCGAGACCCACGTGTGGCAGGCCTGTGCTGTTTCTGAAGACTCCAGGGGAGAATCAGCACCACATTTCTCGGTTTCTGGTGTCACAGGTGGTCCTTGCCATGTACATATCTTGCCTCCAATCTCTGCCTGTCGCATGGTCTCCTCCTGTGTCTGTCTCTGTGTCTCTTCTCCTCTTTTTATAAGGATATCAGTTTTATTGGACTCAGGCAGATACTCTAATGACCAAATCTTTATTTGATGATATCTGCAAAGACCCTATGTCCAATAAGGTCACATTCACGTGGACCAGGAGTTAGGATAGGAGCATATCTTCTTGGAGGGATGCACTTCAACCCGTTAGCAGTGGGCAGTGGGCTGCCAATGGAGCAGGGTGGCTGGACGATGAGCCAGAGCTGGGAAGACCCGTCTACTTGAATGCCAAAGTTCCCAAGAGCAGGCTGCAAGTGGACAGAGTAAAGTCAGTTCTGGGCCGGGTGCGGTGGCTCACACCTGTAATCCCAACACTTTGGGAGGCTGAGGAGGGCAGATCACTTGAGGTCAGGAGTTCGAGACCAGCCTGGTCAACATGGTGAAACCCCTGTCTCTACTAAAAATACAAAATTATCCACACCAGTCACTTGCAGTCCCAAGCTACTCAGGAGGCTGAGGCAGGGAAATCACTTGAACCCAGGAGGCGGAGGTTGCAGTGAACAGAGATTGTGGCATTGCACTCCAGCCTGGAAGACAGAGCCAAAGTCCGTTTCAAGAAGAAA